CAGCTCCAGGCTTTCCTTGCCTTGTTGCTGCATAACTCCAATCTCAGCCTCTGTCTTCATATGGGCTCTCAGCCTCTGTCTTCATATGGGCTCTCCTATATGTGTGTGTGTCTTCTTATAAGGACCTTTGTCTCTTATGAAGACATTTGTCATTGGATTTATGCCCCAACCAGATAACCCATGATGATCTCATCTTGAGACCCTCAGCTTAATTACATTTGCAAAAACCCCTCTTCCAAATAAGGTTACATTCACAGGTTCTGGGGCAGGGTGGGAGGTTAGAGCACACAGACTTCTGTTTTGGAGGGCCACCATTCAATCCACTACACCTGTATTTGTCATTAAGAATCAGATGCCTATTGATGAGCAGATATGCCCAACATTAATTTCTCTACGTATTTTTGTGAAGTTATAGTAACGTCTTGGTGAAGAGCTAAAGAGAACTGTAAAGTGCTATGTAAATACTCTACATTATTAAATATACAAAATTATTTTCACACCCATTGCATTATAAAGCTCTTGGATCCTAATACCAGCATGCTTTTTATTGGAAGCAATGATGATCATAACCAGAAAATAGTGAATTCTAAACTGTAGATTCTATCCATTGTATCTTTTTTTTATTGTTTTAATGTTTATTAATTTTTGAGGGGGGGTAAGGGTCAGAGAGAGAGGGAGACAGAATCCAAAGTAGGCTCCAGGCTCTGAGCTATCAGCACAGAGCCCGACGCAGGGTTCAAACTCAGGAACAGCAAGATCATGACCTGAGCTAAAGTTGGCCACTTAACTGACTGAGCCACCCAGGCACCCCTATCTATTGTATCTTATGTTACTTGCTTCATTCATTTTTTTTAAGATTCAATTTATGTTTATATTTATACTCCATACCTCTTCCCAATCTAAAAATGGATTGTAAATATTGAGAAACATCATAGAAAGTACATATCCTAGGTTTGGACAGAGAAAATGCTCGTTTCCTCTAGAGAAAAGCTAATTTAGTAGATACAAATATATATTTATACATTTAAAAATACATATAAATATATATTTATCCATATATAAAAATAAACAAAATGTCACATATATGCCATTCACACTATAGTTTGTATATATTTCTATTTTATTTAGGCTATTTTTCTTATCCTTCACAATGTTTTTGTACTCAAAAATGAGTACTTCTTACAAAGTGTTGCTTTGAAGGGTACTCAGAAATTTTTATCTCCACAGAAAATCATTTTAGTAGTATGTAAACTTGCCATGAATTAGTCTATGGAAATCAGAAGTATGAGGTGTCCAACAACCAAAATGGATACTTGTGGTAGAAAACAGTTCAGGCAGATTGCCATAATTTGCAAAGCAGCAATGTTCTTGCTCATGGCATTCTTCTAAAATACTCTTTTCTAACTCGTCTGCTCTACTCATAGACTGTGTCATTGTTTCTCAGTCTTGACAGAGAAACGAGACATCGGGGAGGAGGTAGTTTTTCCATCCTGTAATCACCATCTTTATAGTCATCGGATTTTAACGTTTTCCACAGCAGGATCATATCAGGAAAGGGAAAGTTTCAATCGCTTCCTGATTCCAGCATAAAATATCTAACTAAAAATAGCTTGGTCTTTTACCTCACTCGGTTCCTTTTCCTCTTGTGAAGAGGAAACTATCCACACATAGTTAGTCATCCTGAGTCATGTTTGTAAACACTAGAAAGCTCTTTTTTTGCCTCGTTCTCACGCAAATGATCCACAGTATGAACTTTTGGTTTTATTTTGGTGTTGAATAATCTTGAATGAATAATTGTGAAAGTGCCAGACAAGAACTAAACTGAGTAATTCAATGGAACAGGGAGTAAAAAGGGGCTAGTGATAAAAGTTTCATCAAATTTCAAACCAGAATTTATATCTGTATATATATTTAAGTAAAATATAATCATATTTTGCCTAGTAGTTTATGAAATAACTGCTTTAATATATATTATATCCTTTGTTCCCCCCAATTTTTGTTTCTTGTAAATAAAATGTAAATGGCATTGAGAGTTAATCAACTTAAAATTCACAACATTCTGGAAGCATCAGGAGTACTGAAAGTTTCAATGTATACCTCTATGTAAATTTAAGGTACTATTTTAAATATAAACACAAATATCGGGGTGCCTGGGTGGCTTAGTGGGTTAAATGTCTGAGTTCAACTCAGGTCAAGATCTCACGGTTTGTGAGCTCAAGCCCCGCATTGGGCTCTGTGCTGACAGCTCAGAGCCTGGAGCCTGCTTCAGATTCTGTCTCCCTCTCTCTCCGCCCCTCCCCCACTCTTGTTCGCTCTCCCCCTCTCTCTTTCTCTCTCTCTCCCTCTCAAAAACTAATAAATATTTTTTAAAATAAAATTACAGGGGCGCCTGGGTGGCGCAGTCGGTTAAGCGTCCGGCTTCAGCCAGGTCACGATCTTGCAGTCCGTGAGTTCGAGCCCCGCGTCAGGCTCTGGGCTGATGGCCCGGAGCCTGGAGCCTGTTTCCGATTCTGTGTCTCCCTCTCTCTCTGCCCCTCCCCCGTTCATGCTCTGTCTCTCTCTGTCCCAAAAATAAATAAAAACGTTGGAAAAAAAAAAAATTTTTAAATAAAATTACAATTAAAAAAATATATATAAATACAAGTATAAATATTTAAACTATAAATTATACTGTTAAATATAAATTACTGAGTTTTTTTTAATACATTACCTCATTTCATCATCACAGCAATCCTGAGGAAAATAATAGTATTAACTTTACACACAGTGGTAGAAAATAAGTTGCTGAGAAATAAGAACAAGAAGGAATAGAGGTGAAATGGGTTTGAGAGTCTACTATTTCAGGGATAGTGAACAACCTGGTCCCTGTCTGGTTGGTTGGTTGGTTGGTTGGTTGGTTGGTTGGTTGGTTGGTTCTTATGCTTCCCATTAGGGGAATATCACTACATACTTCAACCCATAAAATAATTTCGTCCCTGTTGACTTGTGGTGGCTCAGCAGTTTGTCTCAGACCACCCAGGTAGCAAATCAAGGTGTCTCTGTTTGAGGTTGGCCTTTCAGGCTGCACAGCCCACACATGAAGCCATCCATCACATTCACTGCCTCTATCATATTGCACTATAATATCTGTTATTCCTCTTTCCCATTGATTTATAATCTTCAAGGATTCAAAGACAGCCTTTGACTTATGCCTAGAACAAAACAGGTGTCTGATAATAATGGTTGAATGAATTAATGTATGCTCTGAAGAAATAGTCCACATACACTGCAAATCTCATGGTGAAGACTCTGTAGCGTTTACGACAGTTTTAAACCCAAGGAATTACTTGGTCACTATCTCTTACCCACCAGGCTATAAATCCCATAACAACAAGAGTTTCATTCACTGTGATGTTCCCACCTCCTAGCATGGAGCTTTGATTTGCAACTGATGACTATCATCGAATCGATTGATGTGATTGATGACACAGAGTAGTTAAAATAACTTAAGATTGCAGTGATCATTTCCCTAATACCTCACCTCTATGAGAATTTCTCTAATACTGTACCTGTCTCTCTTTCTTTTTCCTCTTTTCTTTCCTCACTTTTCCCCTTCCACCTCTTTCCTCTCTTTATTGGCATTTATTTATCAAACATTTGTATAGCAAATCATAAGTGTCAGACACTGTTCTAAATACTGTACAGAGATTATTTTATTCGAATGGCAATCATGAGATATGTATTATTATTATTACCTTCTTTATTTTACATTTGAGGATATTGAGTATGGAGACACTAAGAAACATGCCCATAGTCTCAGAGCTTGTGCTTTAACTCAGGCAATCGGGCCCTAGAGTCTGTGCTTTTACCACTGAGAGTCTGCTTCTTATTTTTCCCACTCCCCCTGAAACTGTATATAAATATAAATAGGCTCAGGGACCCTGGGTGGCTCAGTCGGTTGAGCGTCCAACTTTGGCTCAGGTCATGATCTCACAGTTTGTGAGTTCAAGCCTTGTGTCGGGCTCTGTGCTGACAGCTCAGAGCCTGGAGCCTGCTTCGGATTCTGTGTCTTCCTTTCTCTCTGCCCCTCCCCTGCTCATGCTCTGTCTCTCTCTCTCTCTCTCTCTCAAAAATAAACATTGAAAAATATTTTTAAATATAAATAAGCCCTATTTATGGCATCTGTCCATATTGATTTATGTTTTCTAGTTCAACACTCTGTGTGTGTGTGTGTGTCTGTGCGCTTACCCACCCTTTAGTCAGCCTTGATGCAGAAACAAATCTAAAATCTCAGTGGCTAACAAAAAAACGTGTATTTCTTGGTCACATTACGTGTCAGCAGCTACAGATCATCTGCTGTGACTATGTCTAAGTGTCTTCTCATTCTGGTGGGAATGTATAATTCTCTTATCAGGAAGGGAGCTAATATGTGGAAACAGTCACACAATTGCGACACCCACTAACTAAATGTTTGGTTTCCCTGTCTGGCCCACTCTTGGCCACTACACATTTAATAGCATTCTGAGGCCAGAAGCTAAAATCTTTTTATAAACAGAATATTTAAAAAAGCTGATTCAGAGTAATTCAGATATGTTAGCATACATGAAATTTATTAATTTTAATTGGTTGTGTTAAGAAGATACAGGTAAGAATTCAGTAATAGAGTGTTCCTCATTTGGCTTCTTCAGATCTTTGACTCTGAAGGGTTATAGATAACCAGAGCCCTAATATTTTTTTCCTATAGCAATTACGTCAATATAATTTCATTCAGTTCAGTCCATCAGTAAATTTTCACATGCCTCCTATGAGGCCAAGAATTAACATAATAGCGAGTTTGTTTGGAGGCAACTATGTATCTTTTTACACTAATGAGCTTCTTGTGAACAAGGTCATTATTCATCTTAGCAAGGAGCACATTGCTAGGACACAGTCAACACCTAATGAATATTGAACGATGGCCAGACCAACTGAATACATGAAAACTGAAAATTCCCGAATGCATCTTTACCTCTCCTCCATAGGAACTTCTACTTGCAGAAAAGTGGGCCAGAATGAACAAGCTTCCATTTCCAAAGATTGATCCCAATGTGTTTGATCGAGAAGGACTGAAGGAATGCTATGTCTTTAAACCCAAGAATCCTGACGTTGAGAAAGATTGCCCAACTATCATCCACTTTGTTCTGGCCAACATCAACTTCAGAAATTACAAGGCACCAGGTACGTTGGGAATATATTATATCTGTAGAGTAGAAATCTGGGAAAGGAGCAAGACTGATGTTAAGTTGTTTCATAATGGTACTTGCTGTACCAACTATTAAAATTTTGAATTCTTCCCTTCTCTTAATAAATAGCTACTATCCTGAAACCCCAAGTACTTCCCCTCTTTCTCACTCCAAGATCCCCTGAGTTCTTCACAATTCAGAAACTGATATATTAACATATCAATAAAAATCTCTGGGGCTTTACTCCAGAACCTGGGCTTGTGTTTGTTCTGATCAGTTGGTGCCCTTGTCATACGGATTGTTAAATATTTTGAAAAATCACCCATGCAAGAAAACCCTTGTTTCAGAACAAATCATGCAAAAACTCAGAGAACTTTAAGTGACCATAGGATTAATATAATACAACATAGCTAGTAATTTCAGGTTGCCATGTTATATTTTGTAGAAAAAGAGAATCAAGTTCAAGGCACAGTCATCCTGTTTTACTACATCCAGAGTCTATAGACTCTTCAATATCCTAGAAGATACTGATTAACAAAAAGGAGATCTAGAGATTGACGAGCAGGATGCTCAAGGCCTAAAAATCATATTATCCTCGGACCAGGAAGTGCAGTTGTGAACGGAAAGATACAAAAGATAGTCATGGAAGATTTGACAGGGGTTGATGGAAAAGAAAGTGATCTTCCAGAGAGTGGAGGAAGACAAAGAAAAGATCAGTCGGGGTGGGGGGTTGGTTACTAGGAGTCAAACTTCAAAACAAGAGAAGGAAGAATTGGCTGGCATTTTCAGTTATTGAGCAGTAGAGTACTTAAAACCTAGAGGATCTTCTATCACTGTTAATACTCAAGAAGAGGCTGTGTAGGGGATTCCTGTGGTATGAACACAGTTAGATAATGTCTTGGTTCAGATTCCCCCAGAAGCACATGCTGAGAAAGAATTCAAGGGCAGATGGCTTATTTGGGTGGACTAGGGAACCTTACTAAGGGAGTGGGGAAGTGATAAAGGAAGGTAGACAAGCAAAGATGTGTTAGTAAGCCAGCTACCATGAGGAGAACTTGATCCTGTTGGAATACTCTAGGGAAAGGAATAGAGCCTATGCTCCAGAATCATCCTTCCTTTTCATGCAGCAATAGGCAAGGGAACTGGAGTATTTATATCCTACTTCCTAGTGTCTTTGGTTGACTACTGCCTGGGGCAGAGTGTTATTTACCAGACTTTACATCCTGCTGTTAGAGAGCAAAGCAGCCTTCCCCAGTTGCAGGATGGGGTAGAAAGTCCTTAGGCACAGGGATGCAGCTGCTGGCAATTGGAAGTTGCCCAGGCAGAACACATAGAAATCCCGACCCAGGGAATATGGGTGAGAGCAAAACAGTGCATACTACAGATTACATGACCCCGGTGGGGGGCTCCCAATGTTATGTTTATGGCTATTTGTATGTTTTATTTCTTGGGTTTTAGAGATATTTTGTAGTTTTCAAAATCACACCAATTGAGACTCTTTGGGTATTTAGGTGTCCCAAGAGAAACTAAGGAAGAGAAAGAAATAGCTGATTTTGATATTTTTGATGACCCCGAATCACCATTTTCAACCTTCAACTTTCAATATCCAAATCAAGCATTCAAAAGGCTGCATGATCTCATGTACTTCAATACCCTGAACAACATTGATGTAAGTATCTCCTGTGGTCATTGATGGTGTCACATACTTCTATATCACATAAACATAGCAATACCTTTTTAATTAATTAAAAATAAAGTTTATGAATGATGCCACCCAAAGTGTACCATTTTATTTTTTGTAAATTATTTTATTACTCTCCAGAAGAACCCTATAAAATTCACAAATAAGAAAAGCAATCTTTCCAAGATTGCTTTTGGGCAGAGCCCACATTTTATGCTATTATTTGATTGAAGGATTGTTTAATACTCTCAGCTTCTTTCCCAGAGTATCTAATGTATTCATCGTATGATAAAATAAATTATAAGTAGGAAGAAATGTGATAAAAAGGAAATATAAGAGTAGGAAAATGAATGTAATAAAGTGTAGTTAATCTGCTAAAATATGAGCTTTCATAGATACACTCATGCTTTTAAACGTCTCTATTTTTGTATATCTTGGGAATGTTGCCATCAGTCACAGCCTTCTCATTTTTCACCTATGAGATATTAAGTATGCTTTGCATTAGGAACTTCAGCAACAAGTCATCCTCTTCAGTATTAGTCATTCCTATCCCCAATAAATCTGCTGCTAAGATTCTGCGTCTATGTGACATTCTGTAATCTCTAATTCACCATTTAGGAACGTGGTTGTGTAACTGAAATCATGTTGGTTTGTAGTTCCAAACCATAGTGTCTAATAAATTACTATCAGTTGTGAAAGCCCAAGTTCAGTAGCCTAATTGGATTTTGCACATTAAAAAAAAAGAATAAAAGAAAAATAAAGGTATTAAATGGAGAGGGAAAGGTATCCTATCTGACTTACCAGTCTTTTTGGATACTGTACAAATGATGCCAAAGAAAGCACAGTATGTGGATGAGTGTTCCATTTGCACTAAGAGAATTCTGGCACGTCTGGTTCACTTGTGGGTTTAGTTGGCCTGAGACTAGTGGTGATCAATTGTGTACAGTTATAACAGTTATGCCATAATATGTTTATTAATCAGTATCTTTAATTTTTATAAACATGAAATTTTTCCCTAATAAGCTTCAGTTCCTAAAACTCTAAAATGGTTTCTTGTCAGCCTTTACTTATGAATAATATGTGATAATTCACATCAAACATGCTTAGTGAAGTTTATAGCATATATCATTTTCTAAATATATTTATCTTTTTCTTTTTTCTTTTGTCTTACAATCAGTGGACATCTGAAATCCATAGGCTACATTGTTTCTGTGGTGATTGTAAAAATTTAAAGAATATTAAGAGAAAATCAGTATTTTAATTTTTAACTTATAGGGGGTGAACAGACATTCTCAAAATAGAGTTGTGTTTTATAAAACCCCATGCTGTCAGAAGAGAACTAAGGGGTAATATCATAGTAATCCTATATCTGGTATGAAACCAGCAAACTCAAACCTATGTATTCCTTGGGATTAAATGCATTAAACTTGACCATTTGTCCTCAAGTGGAAAAAAATATAGAATATAAGAATATGTAAATACCCTGTTAGACTTGGAAAAATAAAAGAATACCCACACATACATATGCATATTTACATCTGCATATTTACATACCTCTATATAGTCTGAATGTGTGAGTGGATAGATATAGATATATAATTTAAACAACTACATTTCTCTCATTGCTTTCACTTCTGGTTTATATAAAGTCTGCTAAGCTATTTGCTATAAAGAATGATACAGTTCTATTTATATATTCTCAAAAGTAGTTTGTTTGACACGTAGATGAACAAGTAAAAGCCTAAGCAAAAATGAACTGAATTCCAAAATAACTTTCCTGAAATAAAGCTCATCAAACATTAATTAATAAAACAGGTTTAAATTGCTTCTAAGAATGTTTCTGGCATAGAATGTAGAAGTAAGACCATGGGCTTTATATCTTATTTAGATTTCAAAGGGGCCACTTGTGTGACTTTGAATAAGCTACTTTTGGGGTCTCAGTTTCCTCATCTCTAAAACAGATGTAACAGCACCTATCATAATAGCTATAGTGAATCATCAGGTGATGTATGTACGATAACCTGCAAACAGAAGCCGCTCAATAAATGGGAATCTTACCTACGTGTATCTATATCCTATACCATGCTAGATACCCCCCAAGACCTTCGCAAATACCCAGAATTAATAACATAGACAAGTCTGTACAGGTAATAGTAGCCTAGACAGTAAATTGGCAGGGGGGAATGGGAGGTCATGAGTGAATGTGAACTTCCTCTTAAATTTTATGACTATTGAGACTTGTGTTCAAGTGATTCCTGTGTGTGTGCGTGTGAACGTACACATGGGTACATTTCATACCCAGGTAGGAATTCCAGTATTCACTGACATTTTATCTCTTTCTTGACTATTCCCCCAACCCCTCACTTGTAACCAAGGAAACAAATTTTATCAGAATCAAAGCTTCTTGATAAGGGATGATAAAACAGAACAACAAAACTGCCAGGGCAGGATGCTGGAGAGTTCATTAGGCTCAATCATTAGCTAAATCATTCATTCCCACACCACCTGAATAGCATAGCTTACTAATTCATACTTCAGCAACACAGCACATATTTACTTCCCATGGACTGTCAGTTGCTTGCCAGTTGTGGACCCTAGGAACAGAAATTCTTTTAATGCAGACCCCTGACTGCCAACTCCATAGAAGATGGTTTCCAAGTTTGTGGCCATGACCACTGTTGGCTTGGGGCAAATTTTCATCTTCGATTAACATTCTGGCTTAACTTTTTACTCTGAAAAGGCCACCCTGTCTCTGACAGCTGTATGCTTCTGTTGGGTAATTTTCCCAGAGATCCTAGTTGGCCTTCTTTGGTAAAGCTAAATTCTAGTTCATCTTTAGAGAATTCTTGCTCTGTTTCTGCTCACATCGTGACAACAGCCTGGGTTTCTCATTAGCATCAGGTTTCTGCACTTACTCAGTCCTCCCAAATTCTTTCTCACTGAACATTGCCTCGGTGCTTTTACAATGGCGGTATTTCATTGGGTGGGGGTGGGGGTGGGTGCTGGGTTTTTTGTTTGTTTGTTTGTTTGTTTGTTTGTTTGTTTGTTTTAAGAAACCTACCATAGAATGACTTATACCAAAACATGTGGTATGGAAATGAAGGGCCTTTGGAGTCAGACCAAATTGGGTGTTGAAATGCTTGCTGCTTGCTTGGCTGGGTGATCTTGGACACGTTGGTTAACTTTTCCAAATTTTGCCTCCCTCACTTGTAAAGAAAAACAATGATACATATCTTACAGTAAAATATTATTAAGTAAATTATTATTAAGTAAAATAATGTAATTTAAGGGCTTGGCATGTAAGAGACACTATAAATTGAAGCAATTAATATGATAATGATAATAATTATTATCAGTGTTCATATTGTCTTCTACTTTTACTTATAAATTTAAACCCTTTGAAAACTATATCTTGCCTTATTTACCTTGTGTCCTCCAGAGACATTGATCATGATGCCAGGCACCTAAAATAAATATGCGATAAAATTTTTGTGAATGATTTTTAAAATGTCATTGAGTTACTGGCTGAAATTATTAAAGAGTTTGATGTCATAGGAGGAGAGGAGAGCAAATGGCAGGACACAGATCTGTTGGTTGGAGGCAGAATTTCTGACCACACAGAAACTCTACACCTTATATGCCTGGGCATGGAGCGTGCTGGACTCATAAACCCCCAATTTGATCTGGAGGGAATATGGCCTCTCCTTCCCAGGACCTTGTTGATTTAACTGCCACAGGGAAATGCACTGTTATACAGCCTCACTCATTCAGTTGATTACTTTGGTAGGCATATTCTAAGGTTATGTGTCAACTTATTCAACATGTTCCAATGATGCATAATAATGAGCTTTTAAAATTCTTTCGCAAACAGTTCTTTAAAGTGGAAAATACTAGATGTTAATTAAAATGAGGAAAAGCATGTATCCAGAAGTACTGGTACTTAATTCTTCATCGTCATCATAAGAGCACTTAGGTACAAGTTAAAGTTTTTATCTTTTCCAAAATAATTTAGGAGACCCTGACTGGCTCAGTCAGTAGAGCATGGGACTCTTGATCTCGGGGTTGTGAGTTCGAGCCCCACGTTGGTGGAGCCTACTTAAAAAAAATTAAATTAAAATATTTTTAAAAAACACAAAGAGGTTAAAAAAATAATTTAGAAGCTTATTATATATGATGGCCTAATATGCTAGGCCCCAAATCATCTACCTTTAATGCTGCCTATAATCTCTTTCCATCTTATTTATTCATTAACTCAACACAGATTTGTTGGGTATCTACTGTGCCAGGCACTGTTTTCGTAACTAAGGATATGACAGTGTACAAAATAAAAAGAAAAAAAAAAACAGTTTTGAGTGTTTAAGATAAGCTAGATATTCTCCCCTAGAATAGTTAACACTTAAAATTAGCCTATGAGGTAGGTATCTTTATTTATATGTGAAGAAACTGAGTCAAGGATAACGTAGGCAGATTGCTGGAAGCCACACAATCATGTGAGGAGTCAAGATGGGGGTCACAGGGTTTTTTTTCTCACTCTTTCCTCACTTTTGAAGCATCTTTTTCTCAAGAAGCCTTTTTTCCTGTTTCCCAAACACAGTCTCCTTTCCTGCCAGGCCAATTCCCAGATGTTTCCTATCCATGCCATGATCTCCTATCTTCAGCCCGTTTTACAAGATCGTCTAGAATTCTACTGAGAATGCCCAGTCCATCCACCACACTTACAGAATCTTCCTGTCCTTCTATTCATCTCATTATCTCCATGAGTTGAACTTTGTTTTGATCAACCTTCCATGCATTCATTACTTTGACAAATAATTATGGTTCTCCTTCTGTGTTCTAAATGCTGGGATCAAAAATGACAAGACTAATAGGGTGCCTGTTTCTATGACACTCGGTTTATTTTGGAAAGGCAGGCATTTGCTGGCAAATTCATAGTAATTTAGACCAGAATATCTTCTCGTAGTCTTCTATGTTTGTAATTTTTATTTCTCTTTCAAAATATACAGTAACTTTCCTCTTGGGGATCATTTTTCATTTTCTGTTGTGGGAATTCAGTATTTGCTTGTGGATTGCTTCTAATCTCATGCCTCTAGGGGAGAAGATCACATTTAACATGTTTCCTTTTCTTATTCTTGGCCTTTATTGCCATAGATTTAGAGTCTGGATCAACATTAGAAGGGTACTGAATGACACAAGTGAAGGATGACATAGGTCAGTCATACTTAGGGATGAGCAGGGGGATGGAGAGGTTTGAGAGATGAGGGCTGTTGTAATATAACATGAAAGGGAAGAATTTGGAATCTCAATGAATTTCAGAGGGGAATGAAAGAGGAAATTAGATGCAAACACTATTGAAGATTACCCCTAATACCATTTTAAAAATAGGAAGATTCAAAGATGGCATTTGCCTCTTTGTTTTGGCGGGGGGGGGCTTTTTTTTTAATTTAATTTTTTTATTATTTATTTTTATTTTATTTTTTTAATATGAAATTTTTTGTCAAATTGGTTTCCATACAATACCCAGTGCTCATCCCAACAGGTGCCCTCCTCAGCACCCATCACCCACTTTCCCCTCCCTCCCAACCCCCATCAATTCTCAGTTTGTTCTCACTTTTTAAGAGTCTCTTACAGTTTACTCCCTTCCTCTCTAACTTTTTTTTTTCCCCTTCCCCTCCCCCATGGTCTTCTGTTAAGTGTCTAAGGATCCACATTAAGAGTTCTTTGGATACATGTGATTGTACCATGGATCATGCCAGAAAGTTTGGATTTAGCAACTGATGCAGTCTTGAGTCTAGCCTCTTCTGTTTATATCACAGAATTATAAATCACAACAAATGGCTGTTTTCTGCAGCAATCTGAAAAATCTGGGCAATGCCTTCCTAGTATTAATGTGCCACCTAGTGGTTCAACTTGCACATTCTAACTATGTGATTTGGGATTTTCAGTTAATAAATGTAAATATTCGTTTTCCTTTATAAAAATGGCCTGTTTTCTAGAAACACCTCCAACGTCCACTTACGGTAAATCCACTAGTTCAGGATACTGATACTGCTCATTTTTGTGTGTTTATGAATTCATTATAAAGGAATTGACAGCAGTCATTATTAGTATAATTTCCCTGTGGTTTGTTATATTTTAAAGCTTTTTAGGTATTTGGAAAATAAATCATTGTTTTTTATTTTACTTGGGTATTTCTCTGCAGTGACGGTTCATGTGTCTTGTGCTGGTATGGTGAAGGAGAAACCAACTGAAAACTTGCTGACATTAGATCTAGAAAGGCAGAGAGATTACTAAAAGAAGACGTAGGACCCACTTGATAGAATTGGTTTGCTGACTTCTACCATATAATAAGCCCACAATTGGATATACCTTGTGTGTTTATTTCTGGTAAACTTTATAGCCTCACATCCAAATTAAAGCTCCTAAATTCTCGGACACATGGTCAGTTTAAAAATAACAACAATAAATAGGTGCTAGTTAGGGAATGCTTCCTACGTGCAGGTATTGTGCAAAACACTTTATATAAATGATCTCCAATCCCCACAAAAGCCAAGGTTAGTATTATTATTCCCACTTTAAAGAAGAGGAAACAGGAGTGCCTGGGTGGCTCAGTCAGTTAAGCATCTGACTTCGGCTCAGGTCGTGGTCTCTCGGCTCTTGAGTTTGAGCCCCTCATTGGGCTCTCTGCTGTCAGCACAGAGCGCACTTCAGATCTTCTGTCTCCCTCTCTCTGTCTGCCCCTCCCCTGCTTGATTTCCCCCTTTTCTCTCTCTTTCTCTCTCTCTCTCAAGAATAAATAAATATTTTTGAAAGAAAGAAAGAAAGGGAGGGAGGGAGGGAGGGAGGAAGGAAGGAAGGAAGGAAGGAAGGAAGGGAAGAGAAGAGGAAACAGGTTCAAGGATTTAAGCTAATTCCCCTTGACCTCACATAGCCAAGAAGTAATTGAGCCTGGAGGTCCTTGGTCAAGGTCTCCTTCACAGGCCTGAAGCCTCTTCTGTCACCATAGAATTAATTATGTTTCCCTTACTCATGGGGAAAATGGCGTCAGCAAATACCCGCTTTACTTAAAAAAACTCAGTAACAGTTGAGCCCATAAGACACTTAAATATACATAAATGATACTATGTTTTATTATATATATTCTCTCTATATAATTTAAAAATCATAGAGCAAATAAAGGTGCCCCATTTCTGTGATAAATCCCTCTTTCCAGAATACAACTGTTTGTTGTTTAAAGTTACCATTGGAGAATTAGAGGAGCCTGCCCTTCGGGCCCAACACAAAGTCACAGAATATTAGTTACATGTTAGCACTACTCAGCTCAGTATCTCTCTCTTTCAGGCATTGACCTGGGCTTGCTCAGTGACACTGGCTGTGGACATGAGTTTGCCAAGGCTTCCTACCTGTGGCCAAGGGCTCAAACACAGGCAGATAATACCTTAATGCTGTTTAACAGTCCCTGGGGTAGAGAATAAAGGGGATTGTTAAATTATCCCTGTGATTTTCTTCTGTGCCCTCAAACTTTTACCTCGTTGGTTAAGATGAAATCCCACAGTCCAGTCCTAGGGAATAGAGTCTTCCTGATTTGGACAGGGTTCCAAAACAGCAGCAGAGCCAGGCCTCTCTGCAAAAGCCCATTTCCATTCTCTGCAACAACTGCTTCAACCAAATTCCAAGTCTTGTCTTCTTTCCAGAAGTTCTTAAGTAGGTTAACTTCACACCAGAAGAGAGTATGATCATTGCAATCGAAGTTCTTAGAGGTTATAGTCACCATTAATTTGAGTATATATGAAGATTATTCTGAATAAAAAATAGTGATCATCCATAAAATCACTAAGTATGGCATTTTCTAGATAGAGGACATCCATGTTTTATCCCTGTACTTGTTTAGCTGAGAAAGCAGGGCAGGTCTTCAGCAATGCCTCATTTCTCTGTAGGTTTAAAGAAAGTCTTCTACTTCCTTGTGTTCCCTCATTTCTGCTTATCCACTAACAGCAAAGAACATAAATTCTAGATTTACTTGTTTCTTCCCTCTTGACACCTTCCCATAGAAAACCAGAATAAGGATACATTTACCAGGTTACAAATGTTTTATTCACAATTTTATCAGCACAAAATCTGGAACATTCCCAGAATACTGCTTTCTCTTGTTGGGGAGGGAAGATTATCTGGATATGAGCTTAATAAGAGTATAAATGGCGGGATGTTAGAGCTAACTATACACATGCATGACTCAGAGATTTCGCTCTCTCTTTCAAAAAGAAAACTATACTAAAAAGATCAATTAGATATTTGTTTTGACCAAACAAATGCTTACAGGGGGCTAGAGCAATACTAATTATGCACACTTTACCTCTATTTGCAGGTGATAAAGAACGCCATAGTTGAAAGCATTGAATACAGAAGACAGAATCCGTCTCGTTGCTCGGTTTCTCTTAGTAATGTTGAAGGAAGACGATTCTTCAACAAGGAATTTCTAAGCAAACCTGCAGCATAGTTTGTGTTGTGGAAAGGGTAGCAATTTCTGAAGCTGAGGCAGTTTGAAATGCCATTACAACTGGATTTGAAAACACAGTATAGATGTTAGTACTGATCACAAGAGACTGGCTGATACTCAAAGTTGAAGTTACTTAGCCGCGTGAGAATTATACTGTTATAAATTTGTTAGGTTGGCAGATGATGTGATCATGTAAAATTATGCTCAGCTACATTCTCTGTCAGTATGAATTTCCTGATGCAAATGTAGGGACATACACTGTCGCTAAGACATTCCTCAATAACTATCTTATGTGTCCTCTTTTTAAAAAATTGTTTTGAGAATCTTTAACGGTTCAGTCTCAATAAGTAAGATTTCGCATTGTGTGTAAATGTTATTCACTGACTGGATTTATTCATACCACGAGACAACACTATTTTTTATTTATATTATGCATACATACATACATGAAATAAATACATCAATATGCAATTAGCATAACAGATTTTTTGTTTATTTTTAATGGGGTATTGCACTGTAAACTATGAAACATTCTCAGATTCAAAGGTTTCAAACACAAAAGTTGTTAATCTTAACTGGTAATGTGAAACGTATCATTTTAAATCATGGTTATTTTTCTTAAAGGAGAAGACATGTAATCTGTTGAACAAATGGTATGCATTTATTCATCAAGTAGAAAAAGTAACTTCTTCTAGTTTAATATTTTACTTTGTTGAGATTATCTTGGACTGTTTGCCCACCAGAGAACAGTTGACCTCAGAGAAAAATCCAGAAGAGTAGCACAGGCTGTATCTGGAAGTCTTGGCTTAGGGACAGTCTGTATCGCATGACAGTGGTTTCTGTTCCCATTGAACTGCTAAGGTTCAGGGTTGGTGTAAACCTAAGGAGAAACCAACATAGTAAATAAACTCACCTGTCTTGGTTATCTTGGTTATTGTCAGTCATCTCCACTGGAATGTAAGGTCCTTGAGGGTGGGGACTTTTGTCACTTTTGTCCACTGCTGTAACCCCAGATGCTGCAGCATGTCTGATGATGTGTACTGGGCACCAATTTCTTGTATGCATAAATCAGCCAAGGAAAGAATGTTCCCTTCTTCTTTGTTATTGTTTCTTTATCTTTCCTCACACGTATGAATGTGAATATAAGGTGATCGAAAAAAGACAAATGAATAGAGAACGTAAAGAAAGGTAATTCAAAGAAGGAAGAATGAATGTCCAATTATTAGCACCATTTGTTGGAGAGACTGTCTTTTCTCCATTGAGTATTCTTGGCTTCCTTGTCAAATGCTAGTTGATTATATATGCTTGGGTTGATTTCTGGGTTCTCGGTTCTGTTCTATTGGTCTCTTTGTCGGTTTTTATGCCAGTACCATACTGTTTTGAGGACTATAGCTTTATAGGGTAGCTTGAGGTCAGGATGTGTGATGCCTCCCGCTTGGTTCTTTGGATTTCTTTGGCTATTCAGGGTCTTCTGTGCTTCCATATAAATTTTAGGAGTGTGTTTTCTACTTCTGTATAAACACTACTAGAATCTTGATAGGGATTGTACTGAAACTATAGAATCTGGTAGTATTGACATTTTAACAATATCAACACAGGATGTCTTTCTATTTATTTGGATTTTTTTTTTGCATCAGTGTCTTATGGTTTTCAGAGTAGATATTTTTTTACCTCCTTAGTTTACTTCTAAGTATTTTATTGTTTTTGATACTACTGTAACGGGATCAATTTATTTCTTTTTAAGAAAATGTGTTGTTAGTGTATAGAAATGCTACTGATTTTTGTATGTTAATTTTGTATTCTGAAACTATTTTTTTTTTAGTTTTTTAATGTTTATTTTTGAGAGAGAGAGAGAGAGAGAGAGAGCAAGTGAGTGGGGGAGGGGCAGAGAGAGAAGGAGACACAGAATCCAAAGCAGCCTCCAGGCTCTGAGCTGTCAGCACAGAGCCTGACGCGGGGCTTGAACCGACAAACTGTGAGATCATGACCTGAGCCGAAGTCAGATGTTAACCAACTGAGCCACCCAGGCTCCCCTCTGAAACTTTATTTTGTACACTGCAATGGAATTCATTGATTAGAGCTTTTTTTTCTTGGTTGAGTCTTTAGGATTTTCTGTATATAAAATGTCATCTGCAAAGAGACAATTTTACTTTTTCCTTTCCAATTCTGCTACCTTTTATTTATTTTTCTTGCCTGATTGCTCTAGCTACAACTTCTAGTACTATATTGCATAGCAGTGATAAGAGTAGACACACTTGTCTTGTTCCTGTTCTTAGAGGAAAAGCTTTCAACCTTTTACCACTGAGTATGTTAGCTGTGAGTTTGTCATATATGGCCTTTACTATGTTAATATATGTTCCTAATTATGCCTAATTTGCTAAGAATTTTTATCATGAATAAATGTTCAGTTTGTCAAATGCTTTTTCTGTGTCTATTGAGATGATCATGTTTCTTTTCTTCATTCTGTTAATGTGATGCATCACATTGATTGATTTGCATATGTTCAACCATCTTTGCGTCCCAGGGGTAAATCCCACTTGATCATGGTGAATGATCCTTTGTATGTGATGTTAAGTTCAGTTTGCTAGGATTTGATTGAAAACTTTTGTATTTATATTCAGCAGGATATTTTTTGATCGGCCTGTAGTTTTCTTTTCTACTAGTGTTCTTTTCCGGTTTGGTATCAAAATAGTACTGGCCTCATAAAAAGAGTTTGGTGGTGTTCCCTCCTCTTTGATTTTTTGAAAGAGTTTGAGAAGGATTGGTGTTAATCCTTCTTTGATGTTTGGTAAAATTCACCAGTGATGCCATATGGCCCTGGGCTTTTCTTCATTGGGGGATTTTGGATTACCTATTCCATCTCCTTACTAGTAATTGGTCTATTCAGATTTTCTATTTCTTCCTGATTCAGTCTTGATGTCTTGATAAGTTGTATGTTTCTAATAATTTTTCCACTCTTTCTAGGATGTCCAGTTTATTGGCATATAGTTGTTCATAGTAGCCTCTTATGATCTTTTGAATTTCTATGTTATCATTTGTAATGTCTCCTTTTTCATTTGTAATTTTGGTGATTTGGGTTTTTTTTTTCCTTAGTTGGTCTAGCTAAAAGCTTGTCAATTTTGTTTATTGTCTCAAAGAACCAACTTAATAGTTTGTTTAATCTTTTTTAATTGTTTTCTGTTCTACATTTCATTTATGTCTGCTCTAATCTTTATCATTTCCTTTCTTCTGCTAACTTTGGGTTCACTTTGCTGTTCTTTTTCTAGTTCCTTGAGGAGTAGAGTTAGGCTGTTTATTTGAGATCTTTTTTGTTTCTCAGTGTGTTTACTGCTATAAACTTTCTTCTTAGAACTGCTTTTGCTGCGGCTCAAATTCTGGTATGTTGTTTCCATTTTCATTTGCCTCAATCTTTTTTTTTTTTTAATTTCCCCCTTTAATTACATCTTGGATCCATTGGTTTTCATTAGAATGTTGTTTAATTTCCATGTGTTCGTTTTCTTCTGGTTGTTGATTTCTAGTTTCATGCCATTGTAGTCAGAGAAGATACCTGGTATGATTTCAATCTTCTTGACTTTGCAAAGACTTGTTTTATGGCCTAATGTATGGCCTATCCTGGAAAATGTAATGTCTTTTTGATATATTGACCCTTTTTTTCATTATATAATCACCTTGTCTCTTTTTACCTTTTTAGTTTAAAGTCTATTTTGTCTGACATAGCTACCCTGATGTTGTTGTTGTTGTTGTTGTTGTTGTTGTTACCATTGCTTGAAATTTCTTTTTCCATCTGTTCACTCTCAGTCTGTCTTGATCTTTAAGGCTGATTTGAGTTTCTTATAGTCAGCATATTATTGGATTTTTTTAAAATTCTTTCAGCCACTCTTTGTCTTTTGATTGGAGAATTTAATTAGTTTATGTTTAAAGTTACTATTGATAGATAAGGACTTACTATTGCCATTTTAGTAGTTATTTTCTGGTTGTTTTGTAGATCCACTGATCCTTGTTTCTTGTCCTGCCACCACCTTTTTTGTGTGTTTTGATGTCTTTGGTATTGGTGTACTTTGACTTGTTATTTGTGGTTTTGTATGCATGCAGTTACTATAGGATTCTCCTTTGTGGTTATCATGAGGCTTATATAAAATAATGTAAACTGGTAACACCCTATTTTAAACTGATACCACTTAACTTCAATAGAATTCACCAACTTTGCACTTTTACTTCTCCTCTCCCTCACATTTTAGGTTATTTTTGTTACAATTTACATTTTTTTTAATATTATGTTGTAGTAATGGTTATTTTTACTGATGTTGTTATTTATTTTTATTTTCTTCACTTACAAACTAGAGTCTTAAATGAATTATGCACTATACTATTACCATTTTTTACAATCTATGACAATATATTTACCATTACCAGTGAGATTTATACTTTTTTAATGTTTTTATGATGTTAATTAGCATGCTTTTCCTTCTACTCAAACACCTCCCTTCAGCATTTCTTGTAAGGCAGGTATGGTGGTAATAAACTCCCTCAGCTTTTGTTTGGGAAAGTCCGTATCCCTCTTTTGTTTCTGAAGGACAGCTTCACTGGGTATAAAACTCTTGGTTAACAGTTACTCTCTTTCAATATTTGAATATGTCATTCTATTCTGTCTTGGCCCCTCAGATTCCTGTATAATCCCTGTGGTGTGAAGTCAGAGAAGGGGCTCCTGCAAAGCAACTCACAGTGCTGGGGGTTGGTGGGGAGAGCTGTGGCTGGTTGTCTCCCTAGGTTCTCTTTCCCCACTGGAGGAACCAGAGAGGCTCAGGAAAGACCTCTCTGCATAGTGCTGCACTGGTCTGTGGAAGAGGCAATTCAGTCAATGTGTAGCTGCCTCCTCTACCCTTCTAATGTGATCTGTCTTGGTCTCTGTGGTGCGGGGGCAGGGGGTACTTTAGCATTTCTCCTATGTTCTAGGATTCTCAGTGGTGTCTTGTTCTTGAATAATTGTTAATTTTCCTTCT